ATTATACGAAGTTATACGATTTCTATTCTCGAAAGGCAGGCTTTTTTTTTTTTTTTTAAAAATGTGTAAGACCAACCAGTCCCTTAGAAAGTGTCGAAGAACTCCTTAATTATGGGCAGTAAAATACTTTTTCTTATCTGATCTTTAATACCTGTAAGGCCAACTTTCTTTCTACACATGAAACATCTGTTCTTCTTTGGCTTGGGCAACTCAGGAGCTTTCTCTTCACTTTGTGAAGCACTGGGCTGAGAAACTGATGGACTGGGCTGAGTGACAACTGAAAAATGAGGGTAAGTATTAGAAATTTGTTAAGAGTTCACTGGCTGACAAACTAAGTCAAAAGAGAAAACATTTAAGAGAAATAGTAGATTCTTTCTTAGTAAGAAAGATGAAACTTTTCTTAAAAATATAAACTTTAAATAGAATCTATTTTACTATCAGAATTTCTTTCAAATCTAAGAATTTCCTGCCAATCATCATACTCACTCCCTCTGAATTTTGTAAAATGATCACTTTACTTAAGAAATTCCTTTAAAATCACTCTTAATAGCCAGTACTAGAAAACAAAAATCCTAATTCTGTGTTAAAAAGACCTTGAAAATGCTGATCATATGCTGTTTCACCACATTGCAATTTCCTAAATGCAAACTGCTCAATTACAGCAGTTCAAGTTCATTATTTCCCAATAAAGTTCACAAACTTGAGATACTTGGCTATAAAAGTCATTTTGGTTTTATGCTGATTAAGAAAAGACCCTATAGATAAAACCAGATTTTGACAAAACCCAAATCCATAAATCCAACTTCAGATCCCAAAGTTTCAAAATAATTGTTTTGTCACTTTCACATGTGTATCATATTGTCATACGTACAAAAACCTGATTTTTAAAAAACTTTCTTTTGAAAGATTAACGAACGTAGTCCAGGAAGTACTTGTGAAATTTTGATTTTAGACTTCTAAGGATTCCATAAGGAGAACATGAGTTTTTAAAGTGCATGTTTTATTTTCCCCTTGTGAAACTTATCATTTAAAATGGGTACCAAATTTGGACAGTGAGATATGACTTACAAAAAGTCCCACCTTTTCTCCACCTAAAATAAAGGCTTTTATTTTTTTAGTTCATCTATGACATTAACAGAATTTGTCCTAATGAACAAAAATTACAGATTACTAGTTTTTTTTAAAACAAATACCAAAATTTACTTTTACTTATGTAAAATTCAACACCTGAAATATAAACTTAAGCTGTAATATTAATCCAAACACATTAAGAATAGCAAATTTATATATGCAATGCTAATTACTGCCTGAACAATATGTCAGCACCAATGCTAGTAGCTCTTATCCAAGCTTCTATAGCGAGCTGACTGGTTTAATAACTTACTCTAAAACTTTACAAATTTATAGTTCATTTACATTAGCAATGTACCCACTGGGATCAACAGCATAATATTAGTCTAAGAGAATAATATCCCATCTATTTATTTCTAATAAGCTACTATGACAACCTTAACTTTCCTGATGCTATGATGGTACGATGCCGGGGGGGAGTGGGGGAGTGTTCAGCCACTTTCTTGGCTATATTTGAAAAATACGAAATTGGTTCCTAAGACATACAAGAAAGAAGGGGGGATAAGAAAAAAACTATACAGAAAAGGCAAATAGCAGCGAACCACAGAAGGCCTATTAAGTAATAATAAATGCAGAGACTAGTTACAAATCTAGCCCAAGACTATTCTTCCAAGGTCTGAGTAAATTTGCACACACACACACACACACACACACACACACACACACACACACACACACACACACACACACACACACACACACACACACACACACACACACACACACAGAGTAATTTGGTCAGTTTTTACAGAAGTATGGAACTCACTTGAAAATACCAAATACTCAGATTCACCTGCCAAACTTAAGAATTTGACTTTATAGGACAGATAGTACACAAACTTGGCTACGGTGTTAGCAAAAACAAGCCTCAAGTTTTATAATGCAGTCACTATATCAAGGATGAATGAATTGATCAAATAAACTATGCACACTATATAAAGTACAGATTGTTCTTTCAAGGGCCTGACATAGGTAATTCAAGCAAGTCAGTTTTCCTGCAACATGAGAGCACTTCTGGTTGTGCTAATAAGCACAGTCTCAAAGCCACTATCTAACGAAAACCAAAATGTCTTTCCCAAACAGAGTTTTAAACTCCCGCAAAACATGAGATAGGGGTTCTACACTTCCAACACTGACAGTATCAAGACTGAATTGTTACTGTTTTTGACTATAAAACTTTTCTTTATGGCCCTGAAATTTAAGTTCATTAAGTTCTTAACACATCCAGTCTCTAGATTACAACTTTGCTCATCTGTGGGTGTGAGGGTAGTGGGGGGATGGGTAGAGAAGAAAGAAGAGAGTAAAGAGTATGAATATTTTAACTTCAAGGTACTTCAAAGATAGTTCTTTGCTTGGTCTGTACTTTACAGCTCTCCCTCCTCTTTGGTCCTTCGATGTGAAGGAAAGAATCCCCCCACCAACCCTTTCTCATGCTAACAAATTCAGAACTGAACTAGTATTAAACAGAAAGCATACCTGGCTCTGACACCTCTGTTTTCGGGGTAGTTATTTTGTCCTCTCTTGAAATGCTCATTTCTGTCATTTGTTGAGTTACGGGCAAGGCAGCCACAGGCACATTTCTATTTGAGTTCAAGCAAACAATTATTTTTAAAGATGTTAAGGGTACTTATTTTTGAAATTTTAAGTTGTCAGTTCAATTTTAAATTATAGTATTTCCAACATGATCAAATGGAACTAGATAAACTAAATTTTAAAAAGGATACTGGATGCTCAGCATAAATGGTTAATAAAGAAAGCAATTGATAAATGGCTCATCAACTCAAGGCTGCGTATTTGTATAGTTTATATTATAACCAAATACAGATTTTTAGCTGTGCCTGTAATGTGTTTAAGGGCAAAAGGGACAGCTCTGTCAGAACACCTTGTGTGGCACTGTAATATATTCTCCAGTCTCTCTGTAATCCCTAAACCTCAATTACAAGGAAAGAAAAGCACAGCATTTTCAGCACAGTATCCTTGAGGGGGTTATGGAGTAGGGTGTTATATATATCTTTACTAATGACCTAAGAATCAAATATTAAAGGACAGCGGAACACCTGATTGTGCAACACATGCAAAGCCAAGGGCATCTGATATATTACGTCTGTATTATTGCATGAATAGCACAGACATCTTAAGTTCTTCTTTGTAGTATCAAAAACTCTAAAATGTTCATTCTTACCTTGATTTTTCAGATGTGCTGCCAGCAGCACCTTCACAGTTGTTTAAGCTAGCGTCTGCTCTCTGTACAGATGCAGAATCTGAGGTAGGACTGTTGGAACCACTAGCTGTCCCTATTTCAAAAAAGGATTTGTAAGAAACAATTCAGCACTACAAAACTCACTTAGTATCAAGACTAATAAGTAACAAATACCTGCATTTAGTTAGGTTAGTGATTTAAGCACTTTCATTCACTGTGCTGTAAATCCTATACTTAAGTGAGTATCCAAACAAAAACTATGTAAGTCATATCCAGTGAATACAAGTATGAAACAAAACCTCAAAAAGGGAAACTGAACAGTCTAGATGTCTGTAGATATTCATTCCTGATGCAGTCATGTCAAGTACTTGGGCTGTTGCTTTAATTTCAAACTCTTGTCAGTCAGGTCTTCTCTCCTATGGCTTTCAGCATTCTCAGTCTCAGGCCCCAATTCTTGGTTCTATATTTCCTGTCCACCAGTTCTTCGAATGTGTTTTTCCTTGGAAACTTACCCATTGGGCTCATTCTGCCACTATTTTGCTGCCTCTGGAGATGTTCTTTGTAGCAAACAGAACACATTCCATTTGTCCTAGGATTCCCATAAAAGCCACATCCTGTACTACACAGCATGGGCCCAGGGGTCTGGTTAGTCTCCTGAGCCATATTTTTCTGCTACAAACAAAACAAAATTTCAGAAATTAGCATATCACCAAAATAAAACCAGTATTATACAATCACCACCTTTGTTATTTCCAAACACTAAGTCTGTTTCTAGCAAAAGCCCAAATTGTGTTAATCATTAAAAAGAGCGGGCAGACATAACCACGAATGTTTTGTTGCCTTTATAAAACAAAGGCCATAAAAGGAATTGTTTTAGGGCCAAAAAAAAATTATATCATTAAATATTAAAATGTATTATTTTACCTGACACTATTCCTGGTTTCAATTTCTGAAAAGTCTGCTGGATATCAGTTATGTTTTAAACATTTTGGGAAACTGGTACTTTTAAAGTCACTTTCTGTTCTCCTGCACTACAGGCAGACCATCTCAAATCATATTTTTACTTCACTGGCTGAAAACATATTAAAAGAGAGCTAGTAGCCCTTCCTGCTACCTTGGCACCAACAAGTGAAGCTCTAAGAATTCAGGGTTAGGGCTGGCCAGTTAGTTCAGCTGGTTAGAGCACTGTGCTGGTAACACCAAGGTCCACGGTTCTATCCCTGTGAAGGCCATCCCCCGCCCCCAAGAATTTAGGGGTCAGCTGCTTATGAAACTCTTCATGTTCTACATTTGAAGTGTGAAAATCTGTTTCAGAGTACTATAATGCCAGTGCCTAGAAAGATGCAACACAAAAATTATCAACCAGATTTTTCAGCCAAAGGCTGTATCAATTTTAACAAGTGCTTGTCTTCCTGATACTAGAAAATAATGAAACGTTACCAGCTCAAATTCAATATAGTTACTTAAAGCAATATAAATACATAACCTTTAGTGACGGTTAATATTTAATGTTAGGTTACCAGAAAGAACTTTATACAGCAAATACAGCTGTGCTTTTCCAGAAATCTTGTTAAAATTAGCATGAATATAGTAATGTCCTAAATTTAATAAGCTTTCCTCTGGGTAAGAGAAAATGCACATCACTTAATAAAAATTACTTAAAAAAAGTCAGGGTCTTGCATGTCATCTTAAAATATGTATAAATGTACAAAAAACAAATTTGAGAGCATTTGATTAAAGGAAAATTGCATACTAAAATTTGTGGTCACTGTCATTTTCCCAACTACCACATACTAAAATACATTCTTAATGAGTTATTAAAAAACGTTTTAATAAGTGTTAACTATTTATAACAAAATTATGGGGGGAAAAGGGAGGGTGGTGGAGGTGGGGCTAACCAATTGTGACCTGGCCAAAATCCTAGCAATTATTCCCTAAAACATTTAAATGGTAGTGATCTTTCCTTTCGTTAAGCAAAAATACACCATACAAATATTAAGCCACTCAAGCTTGTATGGAGAATGACCAAGTTCCACAACTCACTTCGAACAATAGTACTAATTTAGTTGATACTGTCTCTTTAAATAGTAAGTGGAATTTAGCTGACTCATTTTGGAACAGGGTACTGTAAACATTTCAACATCATTTATGAAGTTTAATAAATACTTTCAGTTGGGTTTTTAAATGTTGAGTATGAGCAAAACATTCAAATAATAAATTATGTATTTATATTTGCATACCTCCCAAGCACAAAGCATGTAAATCTTTGCCCTATTCATTGTTGGGCCATTCCTTGAAGCCAGCTAAAGACTTATGTTAGTTCACATTTTCTATATAATAAGTGCCAGTGTCATCTGATATTGGCTTTAAAAGCAAACTGGCCTAAGTTTAAGCTCAACCCATCAACCCACATTAAGTAATTTTACTTAATCCGATTCTTCAAATCTGTTTATATAAAATAAAATGGGAGACCCATCTAATGATTTCACCCACTTTGATGCACAGAGAACTCCATCTTTCCTTTTTCAGAGAACACATCTACCTTCAATTCATAATAACCTTCAACTCTGACACACACAAGAGACACCTGGATATTAATCTTTCACATAGCTTTCCATCTTTCAGATTTTTTCCCTACAAAGCCAGCTTTTAAATACCATCACACGTGCATAGCTTGCCTTAATATTTCTCAGAGGCTTAGATCACATGGGAGAGCGCTTCAGCCTGTCACAAGGCTGCAATGTGACAGGCTGAGCTGGATGGAGGCTCTCACATAAAGCCTAGTCAACAGGGGCCTCTGAAATCAGCTTCTATTTATATCTCAGAGCCTGCCAACTCCTACACAACCCCAAGTACTAAGGATGCAGCATTCATATATCCAACATAATAAAACAAAATATTATTAAGGCTGCTGGGTTTTTTTCTAGTGTAGGGAGGACTAGAGAACAATCTCAAATTCAATCTAGAAGATGCAAGCATCATTAATCACCCACGAAGCCAAAATGGTCGGGCTGTTTAACAAAACAAACAAACAAACAAAAAAACCCCCAAGCCTAGTGAAGAGAACATCAAAGTATAATGAATTCACATTTAATGGTAATAATTATTTTGGGGGGCAGAGGATGTGACTGTTCGCCATTTGGTACGGTACTTCCCACCTACTTGATATTTTAGAAAAATACAATACCATTACTGTTTAGTGTCTTTAAAGTTATTAGGAACTTGAACATGCATGTTTTAGATCTGTCAGGTACAAATAGAACACATTTTTATAGTTTGTGGCTTCTAACTCATAGCTTTAAAAAAAGAAAAAAAAAACCCTGGATATGTAACTGAAAATTCTTCAACCCTAAATGTAAACAAAAGGCTTTTACACCCATGGAATGTAGTTCTGCCAGGTGCATAAAATGTAAGATGGCAAGAACGCCCTCTCACCTGGGAGTTGAGGACCGAGTTCTAATCTCTAATCTGCCACTAACTAAGCCAGTGACCTTGGGCAAGTCCTTACTCTCCAGATCTCAGTTCCCTCTTTGCCAAATGGAGTAGATTGATTTTTAAAGGCTCCTTTCCAGGCTTAGCATCGGGCCTGGGATACAGAAAATAGGGGAAAACAAACTACGACAAATCTTTAAATTTGAGGTGGTGGGGCATTTGAAGAAAAACGTGAAATATAAAATTGTTATATTTTCACCAACTGAATTCTTAAATCCTACCTTTAAAAAAATCATCTGATATTGGCCCGTTGCCAAACAAAAAAACACACGCAAAAAAACAGAAAACAAAAAACAACTTAAAAGGAATAAAATAAAACTCACTTAGATTTCAGAAGTCTGAAAATTACCCAAATCCCAGGTTTAAGAACAGGGGCTCTGTAACCTATATACTAACTTATCTTAATATCCTCTTTGATGATATCCTTAGCAGGTATCCAATCAATAAAAATAACCTGACCCTTTCCCCAAAACACAGCTCCACGGACTGCGGGGAAAGCGAGCAAAAAATTTCACGTTCACCAGCCTAAGTGCGCGGAACAAAGGGGAAGGCGCTCCATTTCCTCCATGAAAGAGACCTTGGGGGAAAAACGCAGACACGTCTAGAAAACTAAAACACGACGACAGACACCCCCGGCCCCTTGTTCCAGCGGATTTTAGGACAAGTTCGAGTCCCACTGGTTCTCCCATCCCCCTCCAAGAAACAGCCTCACTCAGGGAAACCTAGCAGGGCCTTCTCCAAAAACCACTGAGTCATGCACATCAGCAAGCAGCTCCGCAGGCCGGCCCGGCCGCTCGCCTCACCCGCCCCGCACCGACCCTCGCCCGGCCCCGCGGAGGCCACACGCCAGGCATTGTTCCCCCGACCGTGCGTGTGCGAGTGAACCCGGGTCGCAGGGAGCCGGGCCTCGGGAGACGACGACAGGACGACGCCTCCGTCTTTGTGCTTCCTGAGCTGGCAGGCGGGCTCCCCTCCCCTGGACGTCGCCATCTGCGGCCCGCGGCATCCCGGTCCCTTCACTCCCCTCCCAGCCCCACACCACTCACCCTGCAGAAGCCCGGATGCATGAATGGGGCTCGCGCGAGACGTCGGTGCGGTGAGGCCGGCCCGAAGCCTCCGGGAAGGGCGAGCCGGGGGCCCTGGAGCCGCCGCCGCGGGGCGGGGGCGGGGCGGGTAGAAGCCGCAGGCGGAGGTGGCACCGCCGCCGCCGCGGGGTCCTCCTTTGTTCCTGCAGCAGCGCCGAGCGTGGCCGGGACCCGCCGGAGCTCGGGGGTGGGAGGAGGGAAACGAGGGGGGGTCGAGGAGGCGGAGGGAGGACCGGAGGCCGCGGCGGCTAACGCTTCTCGGGGCGCTCGCCCCCTGTCGCCTCACACCTCCACGCGTGGCGGGCGAGGCCGCCTAAGAGAGCGAACGGAGCGTGAGCGGCGAGGCCTGGGCGCCGTGAAGGCCCAATAACGGCGTTCTCTGTCGCTTCGGCCACCTCCAGGGAAGCTGCGCGGCTCCCGGGAGCGAGCGAGCCCCTAGCAAAGACGCACACGGCTCCACGACCCGGCCGACTGACGCGCTCCGCCCGGCGCTCGGGCGGTGAAGCAAAGGAGGGGAGGGGGCGGGGCCTGTGCGTCAGCGAACACCCCGGCGGCGGCGAGCGCGATGACGTCGCGGGCTTAGGGCCCCGCTCCCGCCCTTCAGTCGCGAGTCCGGAAGGCGGGGCCGAACCTGGCGGTTCTGCCATCGCCAGGAGCCGAGTCACTGCTCCGCCGGCCGGCCCCTGGGTGGAGCTGGAAGGAGCTGGTCCTGTGGAGGATGCGTTTCTATTTTTAACCCAGTAGTGGGCCCTCAGCCTCCCTCCTTCCGATGCTCTCAGTCCCGCTTTGTCTCCAGCCCTGGGCAGCTGTTCCCCTCCCTCCGGAGAAGAGGAACTTCCTTATGGCTTCTGGGTTTTCTCTGTTAACGAAGCTTCCCCACCCTCCTCTTCAGTTCCAAAGTCCCGCCTGAGCATTCCTTGACGCCGCCGGGAAGGAGCAGGGTGGCCCCGCTGCCCCGCCCGCCCGCCCGAGGTCACGGGTGGCCGTGCAGTCAGGAGACGCTCGCCCCACTGGCTGCCAGGCCTCGGCCCTGGCGTCGCTGTTCTGGACACACTGTTTTGGCCAACCTGTAAAATCCCTGGAAATTGTCGATTCCAGCAAAGCGTCGTGAACTGGGAAAGCACAAAATGTTCTACTCTAGAAATACAGCGAAGGGACAAACAAGTTCGATCTGAGGCGGAGATCAAAAAGGAGATGAGGCGGGAGGAGAAGGAAGTTCAAGAGGGGGAGGTATCAGGCAGGCGATTCAGAAATGAGGCCCATGGCCGGACTGGTGTGAAAGGGTGAGTTAGCCTAAAACATCAAGAACCTTTCCAAAGCACAAACAGAAACCCCAGTAACAACTGACCTCTCCAAGTGACTTCAGTTCAACTCAGAAGAACAAAATGACTGAGTCAGAAGGGATTTCTGAACTTTTCTGGTAAACAATGGTCTAACAAGTACATAGAAATGATGGTTAGGGCTTATATCAGCCACCATTAGAATGTAGTGAGAGGCTCCTTCAGTGTTTTCCAAAGCCACTAATCAGAAGAAAAATCACCTGAAGTGATCATTTAAAGATTCCTAGGCTTCTGCCTCGGATACGGTTTTGAGAGCTCAGGAATTCTGTATGTTTAAGTTGTGCTTCAGGTGATTCTTATTCATAATCTTGTATATTTGGGGGAATGCTACTCAGGTGTCCTGTGCCAATATTACCAAAACAAACTGTTCTCTGCTGCAGTAAGAGTACCTGGAACATAACTGAACATTATTATTTTTTAACCACTTCAGGGTTATTGCTGTGATCTGTTAGTGTATTAGACATTTAAGCAGTTTGGGTCACTGGTCCTAGAACCATTGGAATTTATTTCCTTAGATTATTAGATAAATTAGTAAAAACATAGCAGCTACCATTTACAGGCCACTTTCAGTGACAAGTATTTTCTACTTAGGATCTCATTTAAACCTCACAGCAATTCACTGAAATAAGTACAATTATCATGTACATTTCTAAAGATAAAGGAATAATGACTAATGAAGCAATCAGGTGATGATGATGATTATTATTTTATTATTTTTGGGGCTGGTGGGTAAGAGGATCTGAACCCAGCAGGAGGTGATTATTACTGAAGACAAAAATAACTGAAATAAGTACAATTATCATGTACATTTCTAAAGATAAAGGAATAATGACTAATGAAGCAATCAGGTGATGATGATTATTATTATTTTATTATTTTTGCGGCTGGTGGGTAAGAGGATCTGAACCCAGCAGGAGGTGATTATTACTGAAGACAAAAATAACAGATTCCTGCCCTCACACTTCCCTCTAATTTTAGTTATAAGTGAAACAAGGTAATTCCTGAAGAAGCATATGGGGGAAAAAAATCTAAGGGTAATAAGGCAAACTTGTTTTTTAATAATATATTCCATAAAATATGTGATATGTAGCACCTTCTGATAATTCATCTTCTCTACCAACCATTTATAATTGTCTGTATGAGACTGTTTCAACTAAGAATATTGCTGGTATTGAACCTAGACATAGCAAGGTTTCCTTTCAGCAACTCTTTCCTAGAGGTTCTCAAAGTATGGTCCCCAGACCAGCAGCATTAGCATCCCTTGGGAACTTGTTGAGAATACTCCTGCAAATTCTCAGACCCCACAGCAAACCATGGAATCAGAAACTCTGGGGATTGGCACAGTTATCTGTAGTTTAACAAGTCCTTCAGATGATTCTGATGCATGCTTGAGTTTGAAAACTATTGACTTACTCCTACCATACCATCTGGTGACCCCTCTTTCTTTCAAATGGCTTATACCATGTGAAGGGGAAAGGTTTTTTGTTTGTTTTTTTAAAAAGGAAATTGGTCTATATTACTGGTATAATAACAGATTAAGGGATATGCTTCTAATGTGGTTTTGTTTTTGTTTTGTTTTCTGGTGTTCTAAATTTTCAGCTGGATTCTAAAGACAAACTAAACTATAAAACACAAAATACATAATGGAATGTTCCTGATATAACATGCAAAAAGACTTAACTCTGTAGTTATCAGAAAAGGCCTGAAACCAATCTCTGTCAAAAAGATAATAGGAAAAGTTGGGTGTGCTTGAAATTTGGTATTACCAATTAATTGTTCAAAGTGCCTTTTGTGGAATTTCATTACATGGAACATACCAAGTGACTAGCACCAATCCATTTCCTAAGTACTCCTTGAAAACAATGCTGTTAATATTTCTATTTTTTTTCATATAATATATTTTGCACATTCACTACTTTCCAGGCGCCCACTGAACTGGGTGCTGGGATATAC